ATCTTTGTCAGCTTATATTGCACTTTCAGACTTGGAGACATAACAGGGTTTTTTGTATAGAATAACGGTGAACACATAGGCCACCTGATGCTATGTTGATGCTGTAGCACAGAATAAATAATTGGCTGTAGCCCATAGTCTGCACACACACAAACGCATACAAAAAGGTGGTTGCTACAGGGCATTCTTTGCCAGCACTATTACTGCCTCCAGGTCGATTTAAATAGGGTGCAAAGTGCAAAAATATTTTAAGTTAATTAAAATAACAATAGGCTTTAATCCACATCGGCATTAATGAAATTGGCAATTACAATTTAAACTAAAGTACCGATTTACGATAAAGCATCGTAAGTAAACTTGTAATGCCTATAAAATCCCTTTATAAAAAAAACTATCATTAAAAAGACCAGACCAGACCTCGTCCCATTGCGTACATAAGTCGTATTGCAACGTCATGTCGGCCGTCATTTTATTCGAAAGAAGGTTATATTACTGAGAGCCATTATTTTTAATACAGCACCCGTTTTTACCCTTTGAATTCGGAATAATATCGTCACGTACAACTGCGATCGTGATACGAATATTCCAAAGTGGAATCCGAATAATTCTTTTTAGATTTTAACAAAAGTGTTTGAATGCATTCCGTTGTGCGAAAGAATAGGGAATTTCAAACTGACGTCGAATAAAAATAATTTATCAGGATATATTGCGTAAAACTAGTAGTCAGAGTCAAAATTTCGTCAGGTCTCTCATTACTAATACTTAAGTAAAAGTTAAAATTTTGCGCAATTTATGCTTGTTTGTAGCACTATTGAATGTTAACACCCAGGGATCTTCACATGTTGAATAAGATTTATTTACTCAAAAATGCAGATTCCCTCAAATATTTTGGCCGCCGCTGGGAATATTTACTCCTACATTAAATCCATCAAAAGCCCACTGCTGCGTTTTTATTTTACTTCCAGCTATGAGTCAGAAACACAGCTACTCATCTTCTGTTTCATGTAACCCTCTGTCTTCTCTTACGGCACTCACGGCTTGTGAAAGACAGCGGCAGCACACAACTTACATCTACACGTAAACTGTTTCGTCGACTGAAATCATTTCATCAATGTTTTGTTATGACATTGTCACGCTAAACTAACCTCCGTAAAGCGACGATACATGCAAACATTTTTTATAGCCTCACAGCAACATCCTCATTAGCATCGGTCCTCATTTATATAAATTTCTAACCACGTTTAGAGATTTCTTTAATATATAAAGAACCCGCGGTTCATAGGGCCGTAGCCAAACGCTTTGCCATTATGCTATCATGCCAAAATACTCGTAGGATTTCTCTTTATTCCAGTTTTATAAGAATAGCTTTTTGTTTCTTGAAGAGCAAACATAGATACTAGTTTTAGCCTTTAATGTATCACAAATACCAGACTTGCCGTAAAAATGCCGTAAATAAGAAAACAAATTCGTATAGCATTTTTTTTCATTATCATTACAGGCTATAGTTGAACATAAACTGCCCCAAAATTGCCTCATAGAGAATATTTGCCTTAATTGCCACGCTTCTAAGGCGTATAGAAAATAGCAGTTTTTTTGCTTCTGTTTCCTCTTATACCCCCACTACGCGCTAGCATTATTACATAACATAAAATATAGCAATTGACATATAGTAACTTCAGTATAAACATATAAGTATTTAACTTCTATTTAAAATAAATACCTCTCGGTATATCTTTACATATATAATTTAATTTAAAACATTAATTTAATTTATTATTTATACAATTTATAATTTACATAAGACAGATAAATGATACATAAGACAGATACATAATTAAAAAATAATTCTTCTAAACAACTGGACCAATTTTGATGAAATTTTGTGGGTGTGTGTGATTGGCTTAGATTTTGCTACGCAACTACTACCCATATGTTATTTTGGGTCAAATTAGCAAAAATTTTTCTCTTACCTATTTTATAATACAAATATCCATAAAAAAGTACAGCCTTCCCACTTTCAGGAAGTGTTTTCTTGTTTTTCAATAATTAACGGTTGTAAACTATCCAACTATGACTAAGAATAGTGCTTTCCTAATACTGTTCAATTATTTAATAAGTATCAATACCTAAAATTTAGAATATAGGCCCATAATTTAATTGGAAATTCCTAATCTTGAAGAGTCAACTAGGGAAGAACCTAATATAGGGTAATAAAAAAATAAAAATATAAATTACTTCGCAACCTTCCGCTAAATAAATACAATGATGTGTCTTACCTGGATTGAAGAGCACCTCCCGCCCTCCCTCAATTGCATGCACTAAATCCGTCACCACTAGTCCCAGCACCACTACTCCCAACACCACTATTCCACGTAAGACACACCATCGACGATAATACGACACGTGTTTCGCCTCTACACGAGCCATCCTCAGGTAATGTAGACTCTACGGCGGCTGACCGATAAGTGAGCGGTGAGCCGAAACAGCTGCTCATCATTATATTTATTAAGCGGAAGGTTGCGAAGCAATTTATTTTTTATTTTTTTATTGTAATGGATTTCCGCAAAGTAACGCCTGATTCTAAAAATTATTTAATATAGGGTTTTTATAGAAGAAGAGTGACAAAGGAGCACACAGTTCACCTGATGGTAAATGGAAGCTGTGACCCATATACATCTACATTTATCTTCAATTATGAATCAAAACGCATATGCGTTGTCGCCACTGATGACTAAGATTGAATGCCTCGTTTCCAGTAAAAACGGTTCTCCGGATCACTACACAAAACACAGCAGTATTAAGCTGCTATTTTACGCTGATATTCTGTGAGAGCGTGGTCCTTCTCCGATTGAGCTGACCTATTCATGCTACAACCATAATACAGCTGCAGCGTGAATCTACCACGTGTGCTATCTATACGTGACAGGATTATAGTGCCCAGTAGTATGCGCGAACACAGATGCACTCTTTATTCCCTCATTCTCATAGTCCGATTGGACGCTAATCAGACGCAAGTGACTTCGAAATAAGGTTAAATTCTTCTATAGCATCCATAATGATCTGGTTAGAAACAAATAATCTGAGTGCGAATATCTCACAAACAAAATTCATAACGTTTTCCAATTACAATACACCAAATGAAAAAATAAATATTTCTTAAAATAATGAATATTTGAAAGAGGTTTCAGAAATACAATTTTTAGGCCTACGTGTTGATAACCATTGCAAATGGAAGTTGCATGTGAAAAATGTCTGCACCAAACTAAATAAATTTGTATATGCACTACGTAGACTACAGTGCGTCGCTGGGAAAGGAGGCTGCTCTTACTGCATATTACGGATACATCGAATCTGTGTTGAGGTATGGTTTGTTGGTATGGGGAAACCGATATATATATATATATATATATTTAAATATCAGTCAAAAGAAATGTAGACAAGCTCTATGTAACGTCGGGCCCCTTGAAACATGTAGACCTTTATTTAAAAATAATAATTTGCTAACGCTGACTGGACTGTTTATATTAGAGGTGTGTGTATATTTGTCAAAAAAATCGGTGTTTATTTCATAGCGCTCGCGACATTTCTATTATAGGTAAAAGAGATCCAATTAGATTGTTAATGCCTACCTGCAGACAGCTTTGTTTTATAAAAATTGTTACATAATGTGTATAAAAGTTTTTAATAAGATACTTAAAACGATTAGAGAGTTATCAACAATGATAATGAAAACTCACGTAAAAATGGCTCATCCAGCAATCTTTTAACTCAATTAAAGACTTCTTTGCACATAATTAAGTAGGCGATACTTTTAAGAGTTTGACACAATGTTTGAAATAATGTTTAAATTATGGATTTTTTATAAATTGAAAATTTTATTTATTGAATTAATAAATTTTATATAAATATTGAAATAATTATGCAGTTATATTAATTGTAATAGTTGTAGCACGAATGGGTCGGCTCAACCGGGGAAGGACCACGCTCTCACAGAATACCAGCGTCAAATAGCAGCTTAATGCTGCTATGTTTCGTATGGTGAGTGTAGAGAACCGGAGACCCTTTTTACTGGAAACGAGGCATTCCATCTTAGTCCTCAAGGCTGACAACGCATCTGCATTTTGATTCGCAAACGAGGAGAGATGTAGATGTCTATGGGCCACATCAACCACTTACCATCAGGTGTACTGTGTGCTCGCTTATCACACATTCGATAAGTATTGTTATATAAGTTACTTGACCATTAATATTTGCACACCACTGAGGTAGAATGTGTACAACGAATTGTACTTGAACACCATTGTACAATCATATTCTTGTAAATAAAGATTATTATTATTATTACTTAAGAGAGACCAGGCACAGAACCAACTACTTAACGTGCTTTGTCAGGCAAGAGGGTGAACTATCGCTAACTTTTTCACTTCGGACTGCTACTGAGAATTTCTTGACAGAAGAACCCAGTTACTTACTTTGGTCCGACCTGGGATTCGAACGTAACCATTATGACCAACAATCGCTTTTCCAAATACTTACAACTAAGGAGATAGTTAATTTATATAGTTCGTCCAACGATAATCACGTGTTGAAAATACGGTGATTGTTTAAATAAAAGTAATCGTGATGAATACTAACTTTATAATCGTGTAATTTAGAAAACAAAAAATACACAAATTAACAACCGAGAATCATGTAACTTTTTAAGATTTTTATTATTTATTTGTTTCAATATGTTAAACAGAATTTTGTGAATCAAATAATGTGATTATGTGTGTAATTAGTATTAATAATGTATTCGTTTTAGGACCTTGCATTACTCCTGTGGCGCAAAAAATTCTCGAACGTATAAAAAGTTTTTCAAGTTTAATTTATATATAAATAACTTCGTCTTTTTATGTATTTTTAAGTCAGATTTAAAAGCTTTGATTAATTGTGTCGTCACTCAATATTGTTTTATTCATCTCCGACTGTTCAATTGTTTGCGTTCTCAAACCTGACACCCCCCAAGACTTGCTTCTTTTAAGTGGAGGACGGCCACGGATGCGTCCCTCGTACTTATGACGTTTATGATTTAGCGGACTGATCTCACAGTCCGACATCTCTTCACATTTACGTTTAGATGCAGATGACGTTGTGGAATCATTGTCCCCGAACGTTTTCAGCGGCGAAAGAGAAGCTGAAAATAACAAAGCGCATTTTTTTTAAATATATACCTTTATGAATTGGATGGGGAAACGCCTAAAGCAGTGTAGATGGTGCCATTTCGCCTTGCTATCCCGCTTGCCAAATGGTGTAACTATGGCAAATATTCCCTAATATAAGGACAACCCATAAGAGGAGGAGAACTATGTTCAGTAGTACACTTTTTAAAGGATGTAATGATGATGATGGTTATTTAGTCTGCCTTCTATTTATGGTCGTATAAGGTTATACTTTTTTATCCTTATGCACCTACTATTATATTTTATTACGCAGGATTTGACTGGATAAGAATTAAAAAAGACATTTAGCCCGCTCTTTGTGACCCTTTTATTTAAATTGATAGCCATAAAGTAAAAATAAATATATGAATAACGGTTGAATGACGTCACCCATCTCTGATATATTCACTTCCTGTCATTGATCTTATTATTGTGTATTTACATATTGTATATGTAACAGATAATCCCAATTTGCAACCTTGCAGGTGTTCCTTTCATCGCATCTTCTGACATCCAGTTTCGACATTACATCTTACTATGATAGATTTGCCGCGACTCCCAGAAAAACCTTTGTAAGGAGGCTGGAACTATGACATTTTAATGAGAGAATTTTTATTACAATCATTATCATTATTTCTCGATTGTTTAGGTCAAGGAACTCGTTGTGTACATTACATCGGTAGCGTCGTTCTTTTTTAATTTAGTAAGGAAAATTCAAGCACCTGTAATTAGCTTAGAAGCTATTGTAATACTCGCAAAATTAAATGAATTATAATTCTTAATAAACGTTAAATAATGCTATGTAGAAGTATATACCACAGGTTGTCTTCTAATTTTGATGGGCTTAACAGGTTCTATTTAATAGGTCACGTTCTAAATAACTTTCACAGAGTATGCAATGTAAAAGTGCCAGGGAACGCAGTAAGTAGGGACTAAATTACGATCCATCACCCTAAAATGCTACAGTGCCGGAAGTAAAAAGGGGAAAGAAATAAAATGTAATAAAATAAGACGACCCTCTGTGTAAAATAAAGTGATTGGAGCAGCAAAAATGCTACGTAAGTTTATAAATGTAAAGCAGTTCCAGAAATTTAAAGATACACTGTAGGTAATTTAGAACATTGATTTTTTTTTCACAAAATAAGCACAAAGTGTATGTTAGCCTTAGACAAAAGCCTAAAACTGAAATAAAAATTGTTAAGAAAATGCTCATATATTTTTTATAAAACTTCCCTGTCATGTTACTAGCTATCATATTCTTGATACTTTGTCTCTGTCCAACAGAGTACTCAAGAAGCCTATGCATGATTTTTATTCGTTCATTCATTACAGCCAATCAAAAGTCTACACCGGAACATAGGCCTCCCCTTAAACAACCTTAGGGTTTTACTTTACGTTTACAATTTGCCATAGTTGCAACATTTGCCACGGTTGGCAACCGAAGTTTTTACTAATAACAAGTTTTTGTCAAGAAGATACTGCTGCCAAACTCCTGTTTCAATTTTACTCTTCTGCCTATAATGACAACCATAAAATTAAAAAATGGGGTGGAGGATTATTTTTAATATTTATATTATAAAAATGAATCTATATACTGCTCAAATGGCCGCCACTCAGAACTGCAATATATCAACGTGTGTTCATCATGGCAACATGCTGCATTCTCTACCATTTACAAATGTGTAAAAAGTCAAAGCGTAACCACTGATACATTGTTTTGTACACTTAAAACTGAAAAACTTTGTAACAGAATTAATACCTCAATTCCAACTATCGACCCCTGGTGAACAGAAAATAATTAGCCCCCATTAAAACTGAAAACCGGGCAGTGAAAGTGTCACTGCCCGGTTTTCAGACACAATATTAAGACAATACCAGTGACCTATATGTAGTATATGGGAAATTGAAAGGGTTAAGTAGTCTCGCTGAAGTTAATTAATGTTTTGTAGCTCTATTAGCTGTTATAAAAACTGTATGTGTATTATAAACTGTTTATGATTACCTTGATCGCTCCAAAAGACATTTTTGACCGCCCTCGCTACCGACGACCAAATGTTTTCTCTATTTGTTTCCGATTCTGTGTCAATTTTATTTCTCTTTTCCTCCACATCCGCGCAATCTTCTGCGATCCTTTTCACACTGACCTTCTTTTTTGTTATCACAAATTTGAATTGTATTTCAGTTTCGTCCTCAGTTGTTCGTAAAACGGAGTTGAGACATGTTTGTAAAGTGCCAGCAATGTTTGCAGTCAGTGTTGCTATAGCGTTGTTGATCGGTTCGGCGGGAGTATCTATACAAGTGCTGAATAATTCATTTGATTCTCTTGAGTGGCTTTCTGTTTCAACGGCAGAGCTTTCTTCTTTAAAGTTTATTGCCCTCGCTTGCATGTTGTGCTCACCGACGGGTGGTGTTGTTTCAGAAGGTTTTTCTCGTTTGGTTTGCACTGGAGTTCTCGCTTGGCTTTCGAATCGATTAATAAGCGCTTGAAAGCGGGGATTCTGACAAAATCGTGGCCTTTGTGGGCCTGGAGTTAACATTCTCTTAGGTTTTCTATACACTAAAACAAATAATGAAAATAAAAAATACATATTTTTGTCGATCATATTCATTGCGAGATATTATTTTAATATTTAAATTTTAATATTTTTTATAATATTTTATACGCCTTTAAGAGACGTTTTAAATAAATTTATTAATACTATCTGCATTGTCATTAATTCTATATAGTGTACCAATAGGGAAAGATATTTTAAAAAGGATCATTTTGGTTGACGTTATTCCCGCATAATATGGCCATCACATTACCATGTGAATATCATGAGAAAATCATCAATTATAAATTTGAAAATAATGAAAGATAAAATTGTAGCACGGATGGGTCGGCTCGACCGAGGAAGGGCCACGCTGTCACATAATATAAACGTAAAATAGCAACTTAACGCTACTGTATTTCGTATGGTAAGTGTAGAGAATCGAAAACCCTTTTTACTGGAAACGAGGTATTCCATCTTAACCGTCACGGGTAACAACGATATATGATGTCTATGAGCCACAGCAACCACTTACTATCAGGTGGACTGTGTTTTCCTTTGTCACCCTTTATCTTGTAAAAAAATGTATTAAGATGACATTTTAGTTATGTCTCTTGAATAGCTTATTATATTAATTCAATATAAAATAAACTCCGACACCAGAAGTTATTATATAAAAGTAAAAGTAAATACACAGACTGTGACATTTCCCACTGCTGGGCACAAGCCTCCTCTCAATTATGAGAGGCTAGGGGGTTTCAGCAGTGCTGCCACAATGCGTGTCGGCGGACTTCACATGTCTTTGATTTTTTTAAATTATTTATCCGACGTGGTAATTCAGCACTTAAAATTGCAATTAAAATTTCATAGGTGCAGGTGGGGGTAGAACTCGTGTTATTTATTATATGAAAATATTTTATTCCTTTGCGTAGGTATATGAATGTAAAGGAGGCGAGAGAGATCAGGATTTTACAGAATGGAAGTCCATGGTCTCTGCCTATTCCTAAGGGTAACCGGCGTGAGTGTTTGTGTATGTATTATGTATTTTATAATTTTAATTCTTTGAAGTGGGTTCTTACTTTTATTAAAATTAATTTTTTCTAGCAGTATATCATTTTAGTTGAACATTTACCCGACTGCCCAGAAAACTAAAAAAACATTGCCAGGAGGAGAGCTCGTTCTCTAGCCTAAACAGATTGATGGATTTTACAATATGAGATGTGGTATTGATACGTCTTAATTTTAACCGTTTAACCGGTATAGACAGAGTAGTACAGAGTATTATTTTTATAATATAAAAAGAAACTGTTGTATTAAAGGTAAGTAATATATGAGGTGTCAACGCAATATAACATTGTGGCGTAACACTTTAAAATTGCCAAACTTCATTTTTGAAAAAGTGCATTTAGAGATTTTACTTAGTGGAGAGTTGTTGGTCCTGGTATATGACGGTACAACCACCGAGTATTGTATGTAAAATATTCAGATGATACGAAGCAGGTCAATTGTGTGAAGCACGAATATTTCGATCGTCAATCTGTTTATCAAACATAGCAATCACAGTAAATTCGGGAAGAATTATTACTACGGGAAAAGTCCATGTCCGATCGTGAACTGTTTGTCAGATGGGAAAAGGTAGTATAATAGTACTATTTAAAAAAAAATTCCGAAAACAAAGTTTAGATTAAATTTGATTTCTGATTTCTGATTCTGATTGATTCTGACTGATATCTTTTCTCACTTTTCAACAACTTACAAGTGAATTACAACAATAAGTATTATAGTTGCATAATGCAGCGCTTTGAATAATTCACTCGCTTTGTAGCATTCAAAAATTATGAATATTTTGAAAGACTAAGGCGTACCTCTGTTGAACTTTGTTTCCGGCTTGAAAATAGTATCATCCGCAAATTTAACCTTCTTTGCTTTCACAGACGTCTCAGTACTATTTCCAGTTTCCTGGGAAGTACTTGGTTTTTCTGAGCTATCTTGACTACCAATACGAATACGGCTTTCTGTTACAATTATGCTTTTCAGTTTAGGCTGCACAATATCCGATTCTATTTTTGGCTGTAAACAGGTTTTTTTAAATACGATAAATATTAATAAAAGCACGTGAGCAAAACAAATACCTACAACAGTGAAACCAAATGCGTGCGAGTATAATTGGTGAATGTATGTGTGCGTACACATGTATACAACAATAATAATATTTATTTAAAAAAAAAAAAACGATCACAAAATATTCTTACAAAAAAAAAACTTACGTCGTTATCAATACTTTGTGCAGGATTTTCAGTAGTCTCAATTTCGGAGAGCGGTGAATCAGCTCCCTGTTCTTGAAATAACGACCATCCCCCTGTAGCTGGATGCGTTGGAGTGCTAGTTGTGACAGCCTGCGTTAGCTTTAGAGGGTGTTGTAGTTGTGAAGTTGGCGTCGTCACTTCTTTTTGAGAATCTGAAACTGTTTTAGTATAATTATTGAAAATCTATTTGGTATAAATTAGATATTTCAAGAACAGATTATTACAAACAGTAAATAAATAAGCTTCATGTTTAAATTATAAAAATATTTCTAGACTAAAATAATAAACAAAATATGTTACCTTCTAACCGTTCTATGCCAGAGGGAGTTACACTAATAGGTGGTTCGTTAATATTTTCATCTTCACTAAGAGTTTCTTCATACTCTTCAACTACCTTCTGACGCATTAAACTTATAAACTTTTTAGAATGGGGAGTAGCATTTCTTTGTTTTTTTGGTCGCGGAGTCTTTGGAGCCACCTTTGGATGAGGAGTTCTCACGATTTCGACTTTTAGACTCTCTTCAGACTCTGTTTCACTTGATTCATAATCTACTAAATGTTTGGCCCTAATTATTGGAGTAATTACTGCAGTTTTATCGGATTTGTTAATGGAAACAATCGCTTCAAAACCATCGCCTTCATTATTATTTGTAACTTCATCGAAAAGTGAATCAAATTTTTCATCAAACCCCTCTGCAACGTTATTTTTGACCAAAAAATCTGTATCAACTAACTCTGATATGGTTACGCATTTGTCAATGTCAAACAAATCTTCCATTTTGTTAAATAATTTGTTGCACTTTCTACACTGAAGTGGAATATGTTCGTCTGCTAGATGCTGTATGAAGTCTTCGTTTAATTGTTCGGGTCTACACAAGAATCTTTTCCCACGACAAATTGGACAATCATAAGTTAAGTTGTGTTCCGTTCTTTCATGTCTCCAACGGCACTCAGCGCAACAAAATACTAGTTGACATACAATACATCGAACCTATAAAAGATCAGATAATTGTGTTATAAAGTGTTAATTGTTAAACACTTTTATTACCTTGACCTGTATATATGTAGCTATTTATGTATGTACGTATATAATGGAATTTTATATATCAGTTTTCACCCACTTCCGGAGGTCTAAATACCCGTAATATAAATTTTTGTAGACGTGTTTAGAACCCATAACAGTAGTTTATTTACCGTGATCTAGTATTCTTCTAGGATCATCAAGTCACGATCAAAGCGAATTGTTGGAGTATTTTCTACTGTTAAATTATTGTAGTGAATTTACGAATTTTATCACACTTGATGTAACTTTAACGTATTTTTAATTCCTTTTTTTCTCCATAATCATGAGTGCATGAATGGATTCTTTACAACACTCAAACGTCAGGAGTTAAAAATAAGTCAAATTAAACGATATAAAATCCGTAAAATAAAACTAATTCAACTGTTATACTATCATTCAAAACCAACAAAATAATTTTTTTAAACGATACAAAATCACGTTTTATGTTCGATTTACACTTTGCTTATTATAAATAAGGGAACCGCATAGTAATATTCCATAGACATAAAGGCGATATTCCTCAAGTATTCACCGTAGGGTGACGATAATTGATATTCACTCGCGTTTGAAATACTAAAGTTTTAAGAGTAGTAGCTTTATGCAATCTACGCGAAAGTGAAAAACAAAGGGAATCATTGATAAAATGTAATAATTTACCAACAATTAACTGCAAGTATGGCTTGGCTAATATGGCTATTGGCTTGAGTAATATGGACATAGATAACAAATTTTATACATATTATATATGCATATATGTAGAGAATGAACGAACTATGAACATCCACTACCTTTCAACATCCTTTGGGTGTCGTAAGAGGCGGCGATACATGGAACCTGAAACAGAATATATGTCCCATTTTCCTGATAACAATCGAAAATAAAAAACTGTGTTTGTCAACTAACTTGTAATAGCGACAAATATAGGAATATCTACCTATAGGTAGTCTCAGTAAAGCCTATTTTCAGCAGTGTACTCTTGCTTTAATGTATGAATGAATGAAATTATACATATGGCAGAATTATGTCATAGCAACTACTTTCGAACTATTTTGTCTTAGCCTAGAAGTTATTAAATGCGCAGGAGAATTTTAGTGTCTCAATTGTACCAGGCTCAAATTTACTTGGGATGGATTACATATATAGTACGCGAGGGTAATTTGGTCATCCGGTTAATATCGTCACTTGCTTAGAACTCAAAACCTTATTTGCATAGATGGCTCTGTGATACGATATCTTTTCATCAGTCAATCTAATAAGAAAAACTCAAAAGGGCGTTGCGTTATCGACGCCATTTTGACAGTTGAAATTAAAGTAAATATTTTAGCCAATTTTACTATTATGTAGTGTATTTCATCCGTTCACTCGGCTACGGATCTAATCAGATCATACAATACCTACCTTACGTCGGCTCTGGTACGGGTCGGCTTAGATCAGGTCGGATCAGAAGTACTACCTTATGAAAAAATTATTTTTTCCTTTAAAACAAAACCAAAGACAATATGCAATAGATAATAGTATCAAAGACAAAGATATGCTCTTTTATTTTAAACCATAACCTGGCAATTTTTCTTAGAAAAAAAAAAAAGAAATCACTCTGAACTTTCGGCGTTCCACGTGTCGCTTTGATGAAGGTGCTCCGTCTTTTTTATAGAATTTTATATTTGTGTCTGGACTAAAAACTAAAGTATTATACTTTTTTATATTCCTTGTAATATAGTGAACACGTAGATATATAATTTGTGGTATAAAAAGTGAAAAGTAAATTGCGAAAAGTACTTCAAAATCCGGAAGGCCCATTTTGGCGGTTGGGTCATAAATGTGTTATTTTTCAAATTCTCATTTATTTTTAGTGTAAAATGTAAGTAAAAATAGTTTTTTTACATATTTCAAATAACTTGACGTTGTATTTATTTCAAATTCACACAAAACTATTTTTGAAATATTGTTCGAATTATCATACAGATAAAATATTATTATTATTATTATTTTTTAAATATTTTAATATTCTGGTATGAGTAACGAATAGAAACACATAAAACATAAAAATATACATATTTCCAAACATTTTCATATAAATTTCTCCAAAAACAAAAGTGTAGAATTCAAATTAGTAGTAATTTTGTCACTAAAATTGAAGTATATACTACTACTATGCTATATAGGGTAATTTATGTATTTTATTACAATTTCTAGCAACCAAAAATAATTTTATTCGATAGTTTATACATTCGACAAGAAATCCTGTAAGTTTTATCCATAAATATTGTCTCAAAGTGAAAATATAGCAAAATTTGCAATATAGCAAAAAATTTTCTAACTTACAAGTTTTCCCGCCATTTAGGTCCCGAGCGAACGGGAGTATAACATGTCGCGCGCTGTCAGAGCGAAGTTAGTTGATTTTTTCCAAGTATCCCTAATTATTGCCAAAGCTTGATTGCCACTGTTTTCTTAATATGATGGTTATAGTATATGACTTTGTATTTTTATGTCCCCGTCCTCTTAGTTTTGGTTTTATAGGGCGGCAAAACTTAGATTGACCATATTACCATCACGTATTGTTCAACTAGATGCAATTGGTATAATAGAACGAACTTATAGTCCTACTGATGGTAAGCGGCATTTAATGCCGCTTTTTGAATTAAATGAAATTTTCATATACTAACATTAAAAATAACTCGATTTTGGTATGTAAAATTAATATTTCTACATTAAATTTCATTACATACATTTGTTATTATTCACTTAAAATACTATATGTTATTGTTTGATATAATAAGTAGGGGAAAAAAGTTTCTTCGTATTTTGTTTTTATATAATTGAAGAAATATATCTTTATAAGCACTGCTTGTATCTGGCTGATATCGATATCAAAACATATAGGACAAAGAAGAAGAAAAAAACACTTTCCCGCCATTTTTAAATTGTTTTTTGTCCGCCAAAATGAGTGAATCTAAGGAAAAAAATTGATAGATTCTAAAGTATTGGACAAGAAAGTCCGAAAAAGATCATGTTCAAAGTGTATTTCAAGCTCCACAGATAGTATCCAAACTCGGATTAACAAGCAATAAGGTGATGCTGTGTGTATGGTGGGATTGGAAGGGAATAGTTTAAAACTAATTTTACGGATTTTATCGCGTTTATTTTACTATTAATTTCTTTTATTTTTAATTCCCGACGTTTCGGGCGCTTTCATAAGAAATCATTAGGGAATAGTTTGTTGAGCTTTACCGCCGGATAAAACCATCGATTGGGATTTTTACTGCCGACAACTAACGGGAATCAAACAATAAATTGAGAAAAAAAACTGCCGGAATTAATCAACGGAAAAGGAGTAGTCTTTCATCATGACAATGCCAGACCACACATATCTAAGGTCATTTAGAAAAATTGTGAGAGCTTGGTGGTGAAGTCTTTATGCACCCACCATGTAGTCCTGACTTTGCACCCTCAGATTTTCACCTGTTTCGGTCTCTTCAAAATTCTTTCAGTAGTGTTAGGTTAACATCAAGAGGGGACTGTCAAAACTACTTGTCGGATTCAAATTAAATTAACTTTTAATTAAATTATTATCTAAAACTCTGAAAGATATCTACAACAACGGGATTATTTCACTACCTACAAGAAGTTATAGAAAAAACTGACAGTAGCCTAAAGGCAGGGAGCGGATCGCGAACTCAAAAGGTCATGGGTTCAAATCCGCCATTTGATTACTGTCGTGAACGACTCCTAACACAAGCGTTTCAAGCTTACCGTAAGTGGTTAAAAGGAATATTAGTAATGTAAATTAATAAGATTGCTAATATTTTTTATAAAAAAAATAATAAATAAAAAAGAAGTCTTGAATTTGTACATAAAATATGAAGAAAACTTTTTGCCCGACCTATTACATAATATAAACATTTATTTAATTTTTACATTTATAGCTTTTTAGTTTCTACACCGCCTCCTATCCTCCTCCCATAGTTAGTTCTGCATAATCAATTAGATGGAGTAACGACCTGGTAAGACATGCAAGATAAAAATAAAGATACATTTATTGCATAACTGTGTATGATGATCTTAGTACAAAAACATATAGTTGCAGGATCAACAGTTTACCCATTTCGGATATGCAACAATTAAAAAAAAATATTTTAAATTTACTACTTATTAACATTAATTTTATTAAAAAACTCATTGAGATTGTAAAAACATTTTCAATTAACAATTTCTTTAATTTTGTTTTAAACATATTTCCATTTAATTGTTTAATAGCTGGTGGTAACTGATTGTACAGACGAATAGCAGTAATATAGTTACTTTTATAGTAAATCATATTTTTAATAATAGGTAAGATTATATTATATTTATATTGATTGCGAATGTTTTTCTTTGAATCAGATTTCAAATTAAAATATTGCATATTGTTTTTAACAAATAGACATAATTCTAGGATAAAGATAAAGAAGTCGATTAATGTAGGTGGCTCAGGACCGGGCTTCGTGACTTACCTTAGGCGAGGCCTTTTTTCAGCAGTGGACTTGTGAAGCACAATAATGATGATAAAGCTAGTACAGGTGTAGACTTTTAGGAAAACTTAAAAAGCTTATACTCTTTCGATAGATTTTAGATAGTCATTAGCATCATGTTTGCCACACGTATGCACTATTTTACGCAATAATATTTAAATAAATAATTAAAAAAACTTGCGTACTCACGTCAACGGGACTCTTCAT